AATAATTAATATTAAGATTTAAGCAAACAAAGCAAACCTTGGCTCGTTCTTTGATTCTTCCACTGTTATGGAGATTTCGAGCTCTCTCTGAGGGTTGATCAGGGACAACATTAATCGTTGATAACAATTCCCTATTTTGATGATACAGTTTGAGCTCTAAACAGAAACAAGGCTAAAGGCTCACTTTGCTCTTTCTTTCTCACTCAGGCCAGCCACAACAGATAGAATTGATTTAAAATCATCTATCGCTGTTTTACAAGCCAATAAAGATTTACCTAATTTAGTCAAACAAGGGGGAAGAGTGATATGCCATAGTGTAATGTGTAATAATTATTTTAAAACAGATAAGGTTTCTACAAAGGAAAAATCAGTGTCATTTAGCCAAAAATTGCTCCAAGAGAATTCTCCATTTCTATAATTTTTTTCTGATGCATATACATGTTCTTAAGCTGTATTTCAAATTTCAGCTAATTCTGATCAAGTTTGGATTGTTTACGAGCTTTTAAAGTTGCTAAAAAATCGGGCGAAAGTCCCTGTACTATAGTACATGGTCTCGGGCCAAATTTCGTCAAAATTGAAAAGGAGAGAATTCCACAATTTTATAATTTTTTCTGATGCATATACATGTTCTTAAGTTGTGTTTCAAATTTCAGCTGATTCCAATCAAATTTAGATTTTTTACAAACTTTTTAAGTTGCTCAAAAATTGGGCCAAAGTCCCTGTACTATAGTACATGGTCTCAGGTAAAATTTCGTCAAAATCAAAAAGGAGAGAATTCCACAATTTTATAATTTTTTCTGATGCATATACATGTTCTTAAGTTGTGTTTCAAATTTCAGCTAATTCCGATCAAGTTTGGATTTTTTACAAATTTTTAAAGTTGCTCTGTGTCTGAAGTAACATATGGGTTATTATAAAAAAACCACTACCTTCTGTAGCTTTTTGTAGCATAGGCCACAACGGATCTTTCCTTTCCTGTCTTGCCTGCTCAGCCAAAACACTGTCCTTTGAAATTAAGAAATACAATGAAAAGAATACCAAAACAACACTATATACTTACATGATAATGTATGACAGTGGAATCAGAATGAGTGATGGAAGATACCCAAGCTAGCATTGAAGACACGTCCATATTAATGAGAGAACTAAACATCATTATTAAAATGATCACTTCTGATAAGCTTACCACTTGGACTCCATTGCTAGAGGTACTGTCAGAGGTTGTTCTGAAGACATGCTCCCCAGCATTGCTGCTATTTGTAGAGGAGAAGGAGCCTCTTCAATGCTATCATCAGGATACGTTGGGCCTACTACAGTAATATTCATCTTCTTTAAACTTGCTGCAGGTGAAAGGTTGAGGAACATTTATAACAACAATTAATAAGACTTTTGTAATTAAAGGAATCCATTTACCAGAGATACTATCAGTAATTCCATCAAAGAATACAAAGTAAATGGACGGAGGACTAAAATTATAGTGATTCTGTTCACTGGCATTGATATAATCCTCAGCAAAATCAGACACAGATTTCTCGCCAAAATTACAATCGCCTGTTTGACAGGAAATAAAATTTAAAAAAATCATTTTAAATTTACCTAACCATTTCTTGTGCAGCGCTTGCCTTCTCCTTGCGAATATTTTTATCCAACTAGCGCCGCCATTACAAACTACATCCACCATTGTATTCTGAACAATACCAGTGCTGTCGGTAAATTTAAAAAACCTTTCGACTGCCGTAAGAGATCCTTTACTCTTCGACAACATAAAGTGAGTGTTTTTAATTATGTGAATGACTCCTTCAAGATGGAGAAGGTTAGTACTTTTTATGTGATGGTCTTTAATAATCTGAGAACCAGTTATCAACTAAAAGGGATAGCAAGAATTATGTAAAAAGAATATGTTAATATAAATTATACTTTTTCCAACATTTCCATTTCTGCTTTTATTTGTTTCTCTATTCTTTGCATTCCAAGTATTTTCGCTTCAGATCTTAACCTATTGGCCTCTTCTAAAAGCCTCTGAGCAAAAACCTGACGTTCCTTAAATTTATGGAGAACTTCAGCTCCTTTTGCAGCTCGGCTCTCAGGTCGCCCCGGTACTGCCATTTTTATTGGAGGAACGAAGGGTTAAGTTTTAAATTTAATTAACACGCCCTTTTGCTTTGCTTTCAATTTTTAGCTCGATAGAGTCGAGGATAGAGTATCTGTGATCCAAGACCAGTGAAACCTCGAGTGAAACCGAGAGGTAATTTAAAAACTCAAGTTAAACCAAACTTATTATCTACTTATACTATAATAGATGATTGATATTTCTCAATGGAGGGCAACCATTGGACTGTGGAACTACTGTCATGCTGCTTCCTGTAGGCGGCCAGCTAGTCATGGTTGCCACTCTCACTCATTAGGAGAGACAGCATCTAAGCTTCCAACAGCTATAGCTTTTCTCCTCCTTTTTTTCTCTATCTCTTTATCAATACACATTTTGATGATTCGTTCAACAGGTAACAATTACAACTTGAGATTAGACTTGCCTATTGTACGCCAGGGTGTATAAAATTTATGTTTTTTGTAAAAAGCTCTTAATTTTTTAATTTTGAGGGGATTAAATTTTGTGTTTTTACACGTGCACATGCATTATGTACACATGCTGTGTATGC